CAAGCGAACGGAAATTATTTTTTCTTTAAACGCTCCAGAAATCATGGCAAATCAGTGACTCGGTATGATGGTTGGATGCTTAGGCAATCTAGCCCGAGCAAAAGACGAAGAATGATTTTCTTTTTTAGTATAGAAATACTCAATAACTGTAGACTTCCCCTTAAAGGCCCCCTTCCAGTTATAGGCCCCCCAATTATAGGCTCCACCTTTATACAAAAAGAATGCATCCGATTATAAGCTCCCCCCCGGGTATAAGCCCCCTCTTCTAGCTTGCAATTGTATCGAAATATGGATTCCATTTATTATGACGCCTTTAGAGGCTTTATGAAATGCCCAGTAAATGCAAAGCGTATTTGCCTAAGCTCTGCTGTATCTTGTTTCGATCTGCCGGTTTGTAAGCTCCCTCGGATATAAGCCTCTCCGTTTATTGACTCTCCTAAAACCCCATACAAAGATGTATAAGCCCAGCCGGCTTATTAGCGACAGTGTACACGGTATGTCATGTTATTTTCCATTACACGGGCTGCAGGAGTGATTACTACTCATTAAACCGCAAAATACCGCCACACTGATAAGAAAATAAGAATTGGTTGGGTTCAGTGATTTTTAACGAAATCTCCGTTTCAGGTCAGAGCACAAGACAGTCATTTTAAAGCATACAAGAGTGTTGTTTGTGAAGTCTTTAAGAATATAGTTTTGAAAGTTGATTTCAACGTAAATCGTAAATCGTCTGTTTCGCAATTTTCTTGTATCAGCATTCTTATAATTACGGTCTATGTTAATACGTCAATATTGCATTTTGCCAGGAACAAGAGACAAATTTAAGAAAATAGAAATTACACATTATTTAAATAAGATTTATTGGTAATCATGGAGGACTGGTCAAACACGTTATGAGTCCCTTATTTCATGAATCACACATTTTCTTTTGTTATTCAACATCCTTTATTTAACTTACATACTTCATGAATATTTAACCAACTGAAAGTCCGGGGAGGGCTTGATAATGTAGCAGGGAAGAGCGGGGCTGATGAATTGAATAAATTGCTAATTATATATGCAAGGGCAATATCTATATATATACCCGGTATTTATCTGTATATTGCCCTGCTGCCCTGGGCAATATACAAATAAATCCCTTCCATTTATAATGAGCAATTAAAGCAAATCATACACGTCCTTTGACCCCGCCAAACATTCTGAGAAAATTTCTCCCTTTAACACAAATATAGAAATTTATTCTGCAACTATAGAAAATACAGTAGTATCCCATATATCATGCAGGCTATGTGTTCACTCTAAGAAAATTTTAAGTCTTTGGAAAATTTCGTCGTCACTTACACGCTTCCAGGTTCTTTCTTCTTCCGAATTTCCAAAACAAACTTCCCAAGCCAGTAGTCAAGCTGCTCATTAGCGACTTTCTTAATGTCAGGATTGACTTCGTAGTATTTCTCTTTGCTGCTATTCTTTTTAACTTTTACATTGCGTTCGACGGCCCATTCCTCCCAGCAACGTACCGCCCATGAAGTATTAACTTTCGTGTTTGCCGGTATTCTGGACTCTCTTCTCTTCTCGACTTCGTTATCACAAACAACAACGATATTACGCCCAGGATTTTCCTTCTTTTCGACTTCAACACTATCTCGTTCGCTTACTTCTCTAAAGTCTCCCACCAACTCTTCCAAATTCAACTCAGGGGAAAAAGGCTCCTGAGAGAAAGTATTTTGCGTTAGGAAAATTTCGTCGTCACTATCCATTGCCGCTCTCGCAAGTGTACTGGCCCCCAAAAAATACCAAGACAAAAATAAAAAAACACAAAAGGTTTGAAATTTGATTGTTGTCGGCTTAGCAAACAAACAATGCGCTATTGTTCTCCGTTTCTCACCTAAGTGAGAAAAAGTGGTTTGAACAAATTATGACCCGTGAAACGCCCTTTCTCGATGCTGTGTGAAAACCTTTACAATACTTACAATGAAATACGTCATTGTCTGCGGTCGGATCAAAAAATGACAAACAAACAGATGTCAAAAACAAGTGGCCAATTACTTCCCTGTGAAAGACGACCTTTATGTAACCTATACCTCATGAATAATATCATGAAATAAGTTAGATAAACCCCTCGAACGTCGGTATTAATCCATATACATCCGTTCTCGGGCTTTATCTCTTACAGAATTCACCGCTCAGGCGTTGGAAAAAAAGTGGAGAAGCGATGGCTGCATGTCCAATGAAATAATCGTTTGCTTTCATTTCAGTTCGGGTATTTATGTATAAATTAAAAATCCCAGCTTCTCCTCACGGGAAGTTCGCCAGCAACTTTTCAGAAGTCGCGTTTGTCTTTTACCATTATTACAGCATTTTAGAAGAAAAGTATCCAATTATCTGTTTTTTTCAACGAATGCAAAGTCATGTGTAACTTTTTGTCTGTTATACGTGCTAACCAAATGTGCTAACTCCTACGTAATGGAGTTATATAATTTGTAATCAGTGCAAATTTGAGATTTGAATCTCCCTTAAGCTAAGTTAAAATTATCGTATCGATCTTTTCGCATCAAAATCATGCTGAGACATGCATAACATAATCTGAAGAAGTGAAGAAAGAACACCATGATAGACGAAAAGAGCGCTGATCAACTTGGCTTAAGACAACTATTTCTGACTGGACATGCTTGAAATACGCAAAGGCGTTTCCTACATTTGTATGTGAAATATAACACAAGACAGTGTGATTCGACAAACCAAATGACATAAATCACTTGATTATAGAAATATATTGCCAAAACTCACCTGCTCAATGATAGCCCCAGAAAAAAAGACAGTTCAGGTAACACAGGGTACTGATCTAAATAACGATTGAGTCGCCTATGCGAAGTCAAGCACAGTAGAAGACTGCCGGCTACTGTGAGGCTACCGTGTACCATAAAGAGAGAGAGCAAACAATACCAACTCTTTCTTATTGGCTGCGAAGTGTTTGGATCTTTAAATAACCAACAAAATATCTTCAATAAAAACCATTTTAAATGCAAATGATTATTAGAGAAAGAATATTCAATGCACCGGGATTCTGGATCGCTGGTCATTTGGTTTGGCTCAGTGATTTCGTAAGAATTCCCAGTTCTGGCTATTAAAGTTACGCACGTAGGATTCAGGAGAAAGCAAGAGGAGACTGACCTTTTATCAAAACAGCAAATACCAAGAATATCATGGTGAGAATTTATCAAAAAATGTTCAACAAGGATCTTTCCACGTGATTATATTTTGATAGTTACGTCATGCGTGGAACAAAATTTCAAGTTATGTTCTCAAACTCATTAATAATTCATTAAGAAAATACAAAGGAAACTAATGTTTAATGAGTGTTTGGAAATCGGATGAAACACTGCTTAGTATTTGCATCCTTAATTTCTCCTTCAAAAATGATTCTGTTTGAGAAGAAATATCAAACATTCGACACAGTGTTTCATCACCAGATGAAACACCTCGAAGTTCGTCAAAAATACTCTGCTGCGTGTCGTATTTTCAACTCTCTTCTCGGTGTTTCATCTGGTGATGAAACACTGCATCTCATGTTTGATATATTACATAAGAACTAGCCATAATTCTGTTGAAATCTACTTCAGACTGTAGTTGCTTAATCTTATTACAGGTTATAATACGAACAAAATAAAACCTTTATTGCTATTGATTGCCGCTTGACTACACACTAGAGCATCACTAGCTAAAAATTCCCCACAAAGCCTCTGGCGCTCAAGAATACAAATCGCAAGGTGTATGAAAAGTCGAAAGACTTATTTGTAGGTTTAAGTAGAATCTTTAAAGAACCTCTTACTTAGACTGCGGTTTGAAATAACGTGAGGCACCGTTTCTGTGTGGGTGTTAATTGTTTTGCGAGTTGGTTGGGTTCAGTGCTTTTAAAAGAAAACTCCGTCTCAGGTCATGGCGTAAGTTAGTCATATGGAAGAACACTGAAATAAAGCCAACTTCGTATCAAAACAATAAGAATGTTATTTGTTAAAGAAGTCTTTAAAGACTACTTCTAGAAACTTCATGTCACAATATGTTTCTTGAAAGACATACATTTTGCAATTTACTAATTGATTTCAGGTTAACGCTTCATTAATTTACAGTCTAGCAATTTTCTTCTGTACTCAGCAAGCTTATAGCATGGTGATCTATGGTTTGGCAGAACACTGAAATAAAGCCAACTTCGTATCAAAACAACAAGAATGTTATTTGTTAAAGAATTCTTTACAGACTACTCCTGGAAACTTCATGTTACAATATGTTTCTTGAAAGACATACGTTTTGCAATTTACTTATCAGAATGGTAGTCTTTACACTAGAGCCTAAATAAGTTAAGAAATATTTCAAGACAAGTAAACTTTAATTACTTCATGTAAAATAAAGCTTCACACACAACTGATTCTCTTTTACTTCAGGTTAACTTAAGGCTATTTTCCCACGCAACACAATTAAGATTGATTGACATGTTTCGCGTTTCTCAAAGCTCAAGAAACCGGCCGCAAGTAACCGCAAGTCAGCTAAGTCGGTCACAAGGATGGTTTTCAAGTCGCTTGAAACTTTCTTGAATCGTTTTAACTTTCCGACTTTAATGAGATGCAAAGTAAAGTTTCTTGAGATTTTTCTTAAGCCTTCGCGCACGAATTTTTGGTTAAGTAAAACTTAGCAGCTCCTAAGTCTTACTTAACAGTCTAGTGTAAAGACAACCAATTGATTTCAGGTTAACGCTTCGTTAATTTACAGTCTAGCAATTTTCTTCTGTACTCAACATGCTTGTGGCCGGGATAGTGGTCTATGATCATTCGACATGCAATGAAAAAGTTTTAATCACCGACAAAGGCGGTCGAATCAGTCGTTAGCTTTTATTAACTCGGGTTAAGTAAAGTTACTGTAAAATGAAAAACAGCTTACAGCTAGGTTATAGTTTCTCCTCCGCCATGGGAAATCTCTATTATTGACGAATATAGATTTTAAAATTACAGTTCCTTGCATTTTATTAGTATACATTCATGGAGTTCTTTGTTTTTTTTACAAACTTCAATTTGGTTTAAATCCGCTTTTGATATCAAACTACTTGCATTGGCATACCTTGTACCAGTACCACGAGCAGACGACTAAATCATAATTTGGATTATACAGTCTCTCAAAACGAATTGTGCATGTGTCACAAGAATCAAAGAAAAAAATCATGATTTTAAAATACTCCAATAAGAGTTCTGATCCCTGTTTAGAACTGGACAGCTATTTCTGACTGGTCATGCTTGAAATACCCAAAGGCGCTTCCTTCATTTGTATGCTGAATATAAGACAACATTATGCTTTTATAAAAAAAAAGAAGAGGACAATGATGACGGACTGTATGTAGTGGCCAATGTGAAGTCCCGTAAAAGACAGTTTTCGAGAGGTCTCTGCTGAGTATTAATAACAAGAGGACAAACTGACTGAAAAAAACTCTTTTTTCTTAATCAACTGTGAAGTGTTTGGACCTTGGATAATGTATTACAGTACTGAACCTCGATAACTCGAACTCGGATAACTCGAATTCCCCGCCAACTCGAACTAAATTTGACAAATTTCCTTTCCCTTGGTCAAACTTTCACTGAAATTTACCCTGATCGACTCAAATTCCCCGCTGACTCGAAATGTTTTTCGTTTCCCTTTAGAGTTCGAGTTACCGGGGTTCTACCGTAAATTACTTTAACCCAAAGTATTTTAAATGCAAATGAGCATTAACAAAGGGGATTAAATGCACTGGAATTTATGCCCGTTCGGCTTCCATTTGGTTGGCCGGTTCAGTGATTTAGAAAGTTCCAGCGGTCCAGCATGAAGAGATGTTTATTGAAATATGACATTAAAAATTATTGCCCGGTGACATAAAAAAATATGACATAATAATAAAACAATTCATCGATCGCGGGGCTCTTGTGATGACCGTTCTCAGTACGGTCTCTAATTAAACAAGGGTGATTCTCGCTCTGAAATATTTAACTGGTTCAAGGCCAAACAACTCTTCTGCGCCCTGTAGAAGCCCTGGAAAAGAGAATACCTATTCCCTGGAGAGAGAGACGACGGGGAGAAAATGTACCTTAAGAACGAACGATTCCTATTGACTTAAAAAAAAGATGACTATTATTTGATGTGCGAAGTCGCGCGCGATCACTGTGTTATTTTTGGGAGGGAAGGGGTGGGGGGGGGGGGGGGGGGGGGGGGG